TCCCTATAAGATAACATGGCAAATGAACCAGAAATTAGGTTTGGTGGTAAATATATATGGTCGCATTTGCATAGTAATGTATCAAATGAAATGGGAATGTCAAGTGATTCTATGATGCACTCAGCTCTTTTGTATAAACAAATTTCATGAAATACTCGGGACAACTATATATATATATATATATATATATATATGGATTGGCAATGGGTCTTGCATATCGTGACTGATGGATACATATATTATATAAACTTAAGTTATACGTGAGTGCGTTATCAAAAAATATATATATACGTGGGTGGCCTGAAACCCAAACCAAAATAAATTAAGATATATTGCATGTTTTTCTTTTCGAAGGTAATTTCATTGGCTGGAGTAGTAATAATAATAATAATAATAAATAAATAAATAAAATAATAATAAAATGGCTCGTCTTGAGAAGCCAAGCCGCCATATAAAATTTTGGACGATGTTGAAGAAATGAATGCGGAGCTAATCAAATGGGCGCTTTAAATTATTTGCGTAGACTTACTTTTTTTGTTTGTTGGTCGTCGGTGAAAATTTAATTAACTTAATCACACGCAATCATCGTAATTTCAACAAAATATATTTCCCTACGAGTTATATTATATCCACTTACAAATGTCTCCACTCTATGCTTGCAACTTGTATTTCAAGTAATCTTCTATTACCAAGTCAAATCTTCTTTTTAATTACGTGGGAATTATACAGAACCAACTGTATATATATTTGTGTTTTACCAATAATAAAAACCTATAACTATTATAGAATTATATGTGCTATTCGTTTATAATTAAGTTTTTAATGTTGGTACCCTCTTTTTATTAGCCACGTTGATTTTGATACAAGTCATTTTCACGTATTGGGACATTTTGATTATTAGAATTCTAATCTCTTGAAAAGAAATATCGAATACAGCTTCAGTAGAAATTAGCGAAAACAACTACGATTTTTTTATTGTTTATAAGATAGAAAAAGCTATATATATATATATATATATAATAAGATAATAATGTTTTTTATTATTATTTTTAAAAAAATGATTGAGAGATTAATGAAACAAAATTATTGGCAGATCGGATCAGTCGGAAAATAAATATTGGTTGTTAAATGCGCAACCAGGATGGAACATTTATCGTCCCTTTTGTCTCACCTAATTTATCGGTCCCTTTTCCCCAATCACATTTTTTATCAAACCAAACTCTCCTTTTCATTCCCTCTTTTACGATTATTTTTAGTATCGAATCATGTTGAAAAGGTAATTATAGATTCGATACTTATCTTAAAAATTCTAAAAAAAATAATATTTTTCATTTTTGGGACATATAACCCTATAGTTTTAGTCCATCTATATCGTTTTAACGATTTTTAGGTGATTTATAATCGAAATAATCGATGTCTGAATTTCGACAACCTTTAATATAAAATTTAAATTCGGGTTATGTTTAATCTAAGATAATATTTTTGAAAATCAATACAAAAAAATACCTTCGTCAACGACTTCAAGCAATACTCTTTGATTCTTTCGCATATAAAACCTTCATATATATATTTTCATTTCCTTATATTATAGATCAATTGTACAGTCGATATTGAAGAGAAATGATTTTATTAACACTTTGTCACAACATAACAAACTTTGCAAACTAAAAAAAAATTATGGAAAAAGTTTATGAAAAAAAAAGATTTTGAACTAGAGGTGGATCTTAAAAAGTTATTTATTATGGACATGTTAACATAATTTTTTAAAAATAAAAATTAAGTTAAAAATAAAATTGATTGGGGTACTAAGAATGTTTTCAATAAATTTTATACTTTTTTAAGTGATAGAATTTGATGGGGACGCATACCTCATATATATATATACACACACACACACGTATGTTCACAGCCACACATTTCCTTTGCCTAATACTGCAAATACATAATTTGGTGTCGTGGAATATAGTGCAAAAAAAAAACCAGTATTCGCATAAAAGCGATTATTTTCAAATAAAACACAGAGTTAATTAGGGTATTCATTATAAAGATATTAAATAAAAATTTAGCATATTACGACATCATATGACTTCATACAGATAATGTTCTTAAATGGAGAATGAAATTTGAAGCATACAAATAGGAGCATCAAGTTGGTCGGCCTAACCCTGCTCGGATCCGCATTCGGTCTGAAGGTTTCGGATTCAAATTCAGATTGGTTAAAAAAGAGTCGGATCTATAAAATCAAGTATGAAATCGGGCACTATATAGCATTCGGGTCCGGGATTGAGTCGGATGGGCGTATTGATAAAATTTATTTTTGTATTTATTTTTTAATATAAATCGATTTTTTGGGAATTTATAAATTTAATTCCGAATTTTTCAGGTGGACTTTGGTAAAACATAACATCGGACTTGGAGTCAGAATTGACACCCCGTAAGTATAGGCTTCAGCTTCAACATCAAGATTTCATGGGTTCGAGTTGGGAAATTGTTATGATATTTTTCAGTATTCAATTATTTTTTTTTGGTAACGCAGTGTTTAATTATTACACAACACTTCGATGAAACAACGGCCACCAGTCTGTTGGGTCTTTGTCTACATGACATAATATGCAAGTGTGTGTGTGTGTATATATGTGCGTTGAAATGCGACGACGAATCATGTATGTATTGTAAAATACCTTATTTTGTGAAATATATATAATGGCATTATATTTTAAAATTTCCCATTTATGGCATCTCTTTATTAATTAAAATGGAACACTTCAACAGAAGATTTGCAGAAAACAATGTATTGTAGAAAAAGTACAATAATTCCTTTCTTTTTCGGGATTATTCAATTATGTCGAAGATGTTTCGGCAAAAAAAAAAAAAAAAAAAAAAAACGAAAATTCGAATATTGATTATATTATTCTACATCTTTCACTAACACGGTAATATTTATAATTAATTAAATCTTTCTTTTTCTCATTTGATATTTTAATTTATTCTATTATTCAGAGATTTTCTATATTTCCAAATTATAATTATTGAAGCTTTTTATAAGTTACAAATCTTCCTTTTGCCTTCTTCTTTTCTTTTCTCAATGTTGATATTTTCCGTTTTTGTTTCTATTACTAAGATTTTAAAATATTTGTCAATTCTTTTATATTTCCAACTTTACTATTCGTTTCGTTTTCTAATATGTTATAACCTTAATAATTTTAAGAGCACCAAATCTATATCATAGGTTTTTATTATGGGCTTCAGAAACAATGGACTTAGAGGCTATCGGCCCAACGTGGGAAATTAGGTCCATTTTTTTTGTCGTAATATTGAATTTAAAACAAAAGATTATTGGCGTTTCTCGTGCCTCGGTGGTTAAGCAATCGTGGTTCAGTGGTTGCTGCTAATCCCGGGTTCGAGTAAATGTTGTGCCATCAAGCAAATTTCCTCTCGCATACATATACATGCGTACACACATACATATATATATATATATATATATGTCCACTGTCAAATGAGGTATTCCAAAATACCTTCCTTTTATGTTTTTTTTCCTCCGATTTTTCACCACTATTTTAATTTATGTTTTTTATTTCTTGTGGGTGTTAAATATATTAAATTCCTCTTTCTAATTGTAATGTCCTAGTGGCCCAAAAATGTATACTACCGTGTACCCATATTAAATCCTTTTCTATTGGTTTCAAAAACAATTTCTTTAGATAAATACTAGATAAGACCCGCGCGATGCGCGGTTTATTATTTTAATATAAAATATTTAGTTGTTTAAAAAATTATTGATATAAACACAATAGAAATTGATATATATATTATGTAAAGTTAAATTGTATTAACATATGTATATATCAAAAATGAAATAATATAAATATCATTGTATTGTTATAGTATACAATTATTTTTATATATGTGTTGAATAAATTTATTAATTATTTATTTTCCATATATTTATTCCCATATGTTGTGTTATTCGATCTCTAAAAAAATAGTTACAAGAAGATGATGATGATGATGATGATGATGATGATGATAATAATAATAATAATAATAATAATAATAATAATAATAATAATAATATATTATATGTAAAGTTAAATTATAGTATTAAATCAATATACATATATAGAAGAAACGAAGAAATGAAAGAATATAGAGATCATTATATTAAAAATATTTTTATACAAAACCATTTTTATTATATCATACATACATATAAATGAACATATAAATTTTAAATATATAAAACTAAACGAACGTAACAAAATTAAATAACCATTTAGTTGTGACTTTATAAGATCTAAAATATATGAATTCAAATTAATTATTTCTGTTATTAAAAAAATCTATTTTGCTAAATTTCTCTTATTATTCCATTTCAATTACTCATTTCTCAATTTAAAATAAAATAAAATCTTATCATTTAGTTTATTATAATTTTTTATTTCATTAAAAATAATCATTTCATTTTTAGTTATTTATTTTTCCATTTTATCTTAAGAAAATCTAAACATTTAGTTTTATTATAATTTTTACATATACATATTGTCCAACCAATAAATCTCCAGCCATTTTACGGCCTTTTTGTATATGTCATTATCATGGCCTTGCAATTTCTCTATCTTGTCTTGTCCATCTGTTTCTTCTATCTTGTCTAAATCCTCCAAACATACCGTTGTTATAGATCCGGACAATCTAATAGATGGTCATCGGTTTGATGCTTCCTTGGCTCACAAAATATATACAAATGATTCTATTTTCATGATTCTGAATTTTTTTGCGTATTTGTAGATAAAAAAAAGTTAGAAGGAGAGTGATGTGTGTTTGTGTTACTTGATTTGCTCATAGGCTCCATCAGATGTGGCATTGGATGTTGTCCACCTCTTCCTTCTTGGCTTTGCGTTTCTTTACATCAACCAGATTCCTTCCAATTTACATTTATGGTGTTCTTTAGACGTTGATAACTCGAGACCAGATATAACAGGAAAAACTACAATAAAAGAGAGTAACGAAGAAAAACTCTTAGCCAAACCTAAAACAATTCTTGAAGTATACATATATAAAGTATATATGAAAATGATGGGGGTGAGAAGTTCATCCCCAATTACCATACAAGTGCAGAGAAGAACCAAAAAAAGTAAGGCAGTGTGAAGAGACGTGTTTTTTTTAGGTGTCTCGTCAGCTAAGCTTCGACTTTTCCGCTGAAATAAACTTGTATATAGAATCATATGTCGATTAGTATATCAATGAGTTTTAAGGGTTGGTCTCTCGACCAACAAATTTGCGAGTAATATTGCATTATGTCATACAAGTTTCATTCAGCGTCAGGGGCGGATCTAGGTTAGGAGATGTGGAGGCACAGACCCCCACTCTAATTCAAAAAATTAAGTAATTCTTAGGTAATTTTTGTAAAATTATGGAAAACATTACCCTATGCCCCCATAAAATAGCATTTGATTCCATAAAATGATATATATAAAATCAGTGCCCCCATTTATATTTTTTTCTAAGTCCAACAACATTGAGCGTCGGTCCATGAAATGTACCCTTACGCGTTTCTTGGAGATCTTTAATGTGGTCATCGGCGAGATCGAGCATATCCACGGTGTTCGTTTGCTGAAGAACAAAAACAAATACTTATAAATCAAATCTTAAGTAGAAAAAAAAGAAACCGAACTGAAGAAAAATATCTAAACCTTATCCATGTTCGCAACCAAAGCTTGAAGCGTCTTCATTCGTTTACTGATCTTCGTACTCCTAACCAAATACTCATCAACCATCCGACATGAATAACAAACCAAAGATTTGAACACAAACATAATCGGATTGTAAACTATGAAATAACACAACAAATTGAAATTTATTAGAAAAATAACAAATAGTAAATATAGTATTACTGAATATGACGTTTTAGCATCTTAGTCACGATACATTATTTTGTTTTAATTTTCTTTTTTTAATGTTTGTTCGGTTCTTCTATAAATACATGTGAGAGTATTGGATATAAAAATTAAATAGATATACTTTTAAAATATATTAAAAGCATAAAATAATAATAATTATTATTAAAAAAATCAATAAAAATAAAAAATTACTGAAAATTAAATTTAATGTAAAAATCAGATAGAGATTGTTATTCTTTTATAAAAAAAAATGTCGAATTAAAACAACCCAACAGAATTTTAATGGAAACGTGATGTGATTATTCCTTGATTTTTATCAATTATAGCTATTATATATATAGAGAGAGAGTTGTAAAGAAAGTAAGTAAATAAGGAAGGACGACAGAAAAGGGGCAGACGGCAAAGGCAGTGTGGTCGCTTGGATGCCAAAAGCATATGAATTTCATTTCTCGTTGGTTGCCAACTTGACTCTGTTCCAATTCCAATGTGTATATACACTCACATATGCATCCTATTATATATATTACACGTTAAACCGATATATTTTTAATATATTTTGTTGTTATGAGTTTATATTTTGCTTAGGCTATTCAATTCCCCCTTTGTGGTAACTGTTCTTATGGCTGACACGACCTTTTTTTTCACGTCTCCGTAACCATTTTTTTCCTCCTCCCAGCCTTCAATTTTGTTTCTTTTTTCTCATTTAAAAAAAAATATTATTTAACAAAGATGTGTTTCCTTTGTCAAAAAAAAATGTGTTTAATATTTTTTTTGGATCGGTGATATTGGTAAACTACCTATTCCTATCAAATCCTCTGATAATCATCGGTTCTGTTCCATTTGGGTTCGTGCTTGTTCGCTTCCCCTTTTCCTCATTACTCGTCTCATCAACTCTTCCGCATGAGGATATTCTTCTTCTTCTTCTTTCCTCTTTTCTCCTTCGATCGCTCGCTACCCTTTTTTGTTTCTACTTTGCGCGGCTTTGAAAGAGAGGAAGAATCTGGGAAAATTAGAGAAGTGGATTTCCCCCTGAAATTTTCTCTGATTTCTTCCCCGTAGGCTTTTCAGATCGATGCCTGGTGTTTTCTACTAGATTTATGTGTACTTTCTTCTCTTCGATTTCTCGAATCTTTCGAGCTGGATCGAGCCTCAACGAATCTATTGACGGATTCCATTTTCTTTTCGAAAATTCCCATTCTTGTTTCGAAATTCCGAGTCTTTTCCTCCTGAATTCGTCAGAATCGATCGGCGTACAAGTGATTGTTTGAGTTTGTTCCACAAAAACATGGTAAAATATATTTAAAAAAAAAATGCGGAGGCTAAGGGAAAAAATGGTGGAAAGGACCTTTGGCCTTGACTGTTTGTCGAGATAATATTATAATCTCGAGAATGGTCTTGATTTAAGGAAACACATTGGTTACGGTGAGATGAAGTTTAATGCCAAAGTAGATATGAAATTCCAATTGTATTTAGAAATACCTGAGTGTCTTTGATTTATAATGGGCGAGTCTGTAGTAATCTTTTGAATCCTTCCACGAAAATCCTGCAAATTTTGGAGACTACTGCACAGTTTCGGATAATATATACTTGTAGAATTCAATGTAATAAATCTGGTTATTAGATGAGCAATGAATACCACGTTTCAGAATCGTCCGTTTCTTTATCTTTTAGTTTACCTAATCACTAAATATCAATTGATGCATTAAACTATAATTATGGTTGAAAATTTTCAATTACTCCGATAACGTATTTTATTTTTTTATATGGAGAAATTGATAAACCAATGAAAATTACAAAAATATCCATATAGGATGCTACCAAATTCTTTTAAACATAACTTTATATATATATATAGATTTTTATATGATAATAATCTATTAATAATATTTTATATCAAAATAACCATAAAAATTTAATATAAATCTATAAAACTACGATCAAAATGAACTTGTTATATATTAAAATTAATTTTAATCTAATCATATACAAATTATTGAATTAATGTGTTAAAAAACTTTATTATAATAATCTAAAAATAGTGTAATAAATTATTTATATATATAGATTTTATTATATAAAACTAACAATGGAATAAATTTTTTCTAATGTGTATACCAAAAATTAGTGATAATATAATCAAACTTTGAAATTATTATAAACAAAGATTTTAATGAACCAATAAAAATATTAACCACTTCATCCAATATATGGTTTTGAAACGTAGATATTTTTTGATATTGAATGCACCATAATTATATTTTTTATTGTTGTCAGTTTTGCTTTTTAAATTAGAAAATTAAGATATATAATATATAATATATGTGGAAATTAATGAACCAATAAAAATTGAAAAAAGTGCCACATGAGATGATGAGGTGTCTTCACCAAATCTCTTTAAACTTCTTTATTAATATATATAGATTTGTTGAAATGATGGAACGGCTGTCTCCGCTAGTCCCGTTGGATGAGCACAGTTTTGCTTTTTAAATTAGAAAATTAAGATATATAATATATAATATATGTGGAAATTAATGAACCAATAAAAATTGAAAAAAGTGCCACATGAGATGATGAGGTGTCTTCACCAAATCTCTTTAAACTTCTTTATTAATATATATAGATTTGTTGAAATGATGGAACGGCTGTCTCCGCTAGTCCCGTTGGATGAGCAAACCATGGGCCAGTGGTTGCCACCACGGTTCGAGCAAGGGATCCCTCCGGCCATATGTATGTGTATGTATATATGTATGTGCGGTGGTGCCTGACTAAATGAGGTATTTCAAAATACCTTTCTTTTTTTAAATAAATATACGTAGGAAAAAAAATGCTAGAATTGGGGCTGAATTTGTGTCTTAAAGCCCACAAATACAAAAATATGGGCTCGAATAATTAATTGATCATATTGAAATGACTATGTTTCAGAATCCTAAAGCTCCTCTCTCATATATATACAATATATATAATTCACATATTTTTTTCCCATGCTAATTGGGCCCAAAAAGCCTGCTTTATTTGTTGGAGCCCATAAAATCTATCATTTTAATCTCAAAGCCCATAAAATCTCTCTCTTGGTGCTGTTGTCGGGTACCCCAACCCGTTTTCCGAAATGCCCGTCCCTGGAAAACGGCGAACCCTATCGCACCACGCAGAAGGCCGGCGAGAAGAGGAAGATGAAGAACAGAGGGATTTGGGACCAATATATAAGTAAGGGTCAAATTTCTACTATTAAGCTAGTGGTGGAGTTACGGGCTAAACCTTATTATAAAAACCCCTTACAAGGGGTTATATTACATGTGAATCCTATGATTGCATCGTATGTGTCTGCTCGGTTTTGCAATGGCTGGATTCTTGGTTTGTTTGTTTGTTTGTTATTGCAGTAGCTCAAGATAACTTTGATGGCAAGCCAAGCCATTCGGTCGAATTATGAATTGATTGTTTTTGGCCTTGACACTGACAGTGACAAAAGGGGAGTTGGACGCTTGTGTCGGTCCCTTTTCTATGCGCTTAGATTTGAGCAATTTGAAACCGAGAAATAGGCGTTTGCTGTGGAAATTGGATTAGTTGTAGCTCCAATTGATCAGGCAACAGATTCCAACCAGTGGGATTCTTGTTTTTGGAATCAGAAACACGAAACTAGTGACACTAGCTGAGCTTCTTTCACGTCAGACCCTGCACTTGGTATGAGTTGATACCAAGTGCATCGACCAATTTGTTTGAAAGTTTTCGACAGCGAATGTGACTGATACTTGGGGCTTTTATGATATGTTTCCCTGAATTCCGTGGAGATGTTCTCTCTGGTTTCGCCATGTATTTTATTGGCATGTGAATTTCTCTGTTCTTGATTGCTTCTCGATTTCATTCTGATCCGCTGATACAGGAGATTTGAAGAAAGCTCTTGCTCAGAAAACTGGAAGATCTTGTTTAGGGGACATGAGAAGGAGGACACAGAACAGTTGCACACTGCTGGTGTCAAGGACTCGTCTAAGGTTGCCCTTGTGGAGGATCCGGGAAAGGGAGAGGAATGGGTTGAGAAGCAGCCGGAGGTAACTGAAGAGATGGCAAAGGCTATTGCTGCCATTGCAGCAGTCTGATGAATCGTTGGTTTCTACGGCGAGAGAAGATGAAATCAGTGAAGGGTTTTGCTTAGTGGTTTCTGTCCTTTTGGGTTGAGGTCGCTGCCGTTAACGGAGGGACAAAGAGGCTGCAACAGAGGAGTTTGATGTGTCTCTGCAGAACTGCTCATGAGACAGTTGCTCAAATTGGACAGCGTGGAGCACAACGCGAGGCCGAGGTTCGTTTAATTGTTAACTTTTCATCTGTATGTGCGTGCGTACAAGTTCTTTGCCGTGAAATGCTGAACATCGCTGCTTCTAGGAAGCCGTTTTCATTGCTTTTACTTGGCTGAGGAATAATGCCCTGATGGTCTGAGGATATGTGTGGCAGAAGACTCAATTGTTTTATAATTTCCTTACATAAAATATCTTTCGAAGCGAGTTCATGGCTTCTCCGCTAGTCCCGTTGGTTGAGCAAACCATGGGCCAGCGGTTGCCACCATGGTTCGAGCCAAAGAACCCCTTCGGTCTCTCTCTCTCTCTGTGTCTAAATGAGGTATTTCAAAATACCTCTCCTTTTATACATAAAAATGTTAGAAGTTGCCCCTCTCGAATGTCTGTCATCGGTTCTTTTCAAGCCATTAAGCTCCGTCGTTGAAATGACATATTTGCCCCTCTGGCTTTGTTGCGGATGGTGCGGAAGTCGGTGGCCTGAAGGTAATTTGCATGTTGAATAATTTGTGGCATGGGTCCTTGGGAGTTGCTTATAGTTTTCGTGGGGTCAATTTGGGAAAAAGGCCAAACTTATAGACTCCAGAGAGAAAATTAGTTTATATTTTTTCCATATTTATTTTTGTAAAAAATCACCCCCATATTTCTTTGTTTATGCAATGAAATTTATGTAATATTATTAATAAAAGAAAAGTTTTGCAATATCCAACATATGATTTTTTTTTAATCTTAAATGTGAGGTCCCATTATATATGGCATGACATCTCTCTGTAATACAGAATTAAGCAAGATTTTATATGGTTTTAAAAGAAGAAGAAATATTAAATTGTTCTCTGTTTATTTTTATTAACAAATAATTTCGTGGACTTCATAGGGTTTGATAATATTTAATTCAGAAATTCAATATATAAAATTACAAAAAATAAGTTTATAAATTTAAGAAAATTATTGATATTTTCTAGTTATTAATCAGAATTCTACCATTCTAAACTATTTGTGATTTTGAAGGAAAATAAAAATTTGTATGTGAAATTCGATCGTCGCGTTCTGAAATTATAACATAAATCATCCAATTAAATTTCGTCTGTTTGGAATTTTCCTAAGATGGGCCCCGCACAGTTGCGTAACTCAAACAAAGAGCCCATTTATTCTTCAACATTACATTGTAAGAGCCCCTGAGACAGGGCCCTTTTTCCAAATTTCAATAACTTAAAATTATTTTCACATTTCCGACCCCACATTTACTATTTATTTAAAAATGGACCTTTAACGAACTGAAAACAGCCCTTTTCATTTCCCTTCTCTCTCTTTTTTCCTGTTTAGAAAAAGACATCGTTATGTGTTAGACACATATCTCTTTATTTTTATTTTTTTTGGGTAACCGGGATTAGTCTGGACCTCGGTCCAGACTAATCTCGGGACCGGAAACCAGCCATGTGATTTGAATTATACGAACACAAATCTCTACGTGTGTGATTGGGTATAAACAATATACATTCCAACAATATGATATATTCATGCCATAATTTATATTTATGTTGGAAAACTAACGATTACATTTTGTATGATGAGACTATGCGTGTTCTACGTGGCAAGGTAGCTCTGTTTGTGAACTCAGGTCAAGTGAAGTACTCATACTGGCTTGTAAACCGTCAATTTTATCAGATTGGGCTTAGAGGGTCTTGACGTGTTTGATGATAACAGCCACAAAGTTGCTCGGATAGAACCTGAAAGAACGCAGCTTTTGAGATTCTTGGCGGTCGGGAACAGAACAGGAAACCTGGGACTCTACTCCTACTCCTCTGAAAAGGGAAAGTTTGAGACTTCATTCCAAGCTCTCAACGGCACATGTGACCTTCCTCTGGCTTGTAAACCGTACGGAATCTGCACATTCTCCAAGGCTTGTTCCTGCATAAAGATCGCAACAGAGGAGGAGAACAGCATGGATTCGGATTGCGGCGAGGAGATTTCAGGAGAGAAGAGACGAAGTTGATGTGATCACGAGATGCTAGAGCTAGACGGAGTGAAAACTGTGCTGAAAAACGGGACACGGGTGGACAACGTAAGCAAAGAAGCTTGCGAGGAAATGTGTAAGAAAGACTGTAAATGCGCAGCAGCGATGTATTCGGAAGGAGGGTGTTTCATATATGGGATTGTGATGGGTGTTAGGCAAATAGAGAGAGTGCCCGGGTTGAGTTTCATGGTGAAGATCCCGAAAGGTGGGAGATTGAGCGACGGGAAATCTGGATTCTGGGATTGGTAGGAGGAGTTGATGGGTTCGTGATTCTGCTCGTTCTGATCGGAGCTACCTATTATTTCACACGAAAGAGACGGGAAAACTCACTGCCCGCAGATTCCCAGTCCCGATAGTTCACACCTCTATCCTACAAATTAACCGCTTCTTGGCCTACAGAATTACGATGCTGTGTACAGACAATTGTTGCCTTTCTTTTGCCCCGTAAATTCATGGCTGAATTGTACTTGAGATGTTGCTCATAGAAGTCGATCAACTGGCATCAATGCAGAAGAAAGAAAGAAAGAAAGAAATGATAGTAGATTACATGATATGACGTGGAATACATGAGAACTGATACCATTTAACAAGATACTGGAGCTTGCCCCATGATTGATAAATACATTGGCAGCACCAACAAGAAAGCACAATGCAAAAAATATATATGAATGCATCAGATTCCAAATGCGTATAAACAGCAAAACGATCCAATCAAATCCGGTTAATAAACATGTGGATAGGACCGAATTCCTCTCTTCTCGTCGAGCTGAATCCCTTCTATCTGATGCGTTTCCGCTTTCCTCTGATGATCTTGGAGCGCTTTCATCATCATCAGCTTCATTCTCCCCATGGCCTTGACATGCTTCCTCTTCTCCACTACTCTTTCGGTTTACGTTTTTTCCGCCATTGTCATTAACCTTGTCGGTTGCCTCCAAACCACTTCCCACAAACACTGAAAAAATGGTCTTCCTCGAAATCTCCATTAGGAGAAAGCTCACCCTCTTCTCTTTCAACCTTCAGCTGTCCACCCAATCCTTCATCGCTTCTTTGATTCCTCGCCCCTGTCAATACTTGCTTAACACCGGCCTGTGGAGATAAATAAAATGCATTACCATCTCTTGCCTACTACCATAGTACTATAATATAACCCTCTAAAGGATTTCGACTTTTCTAGCTTTCCTTAAAAAGAAGCTAAGCACAATGAAACCATATCCATATAGATCATATGGAGTAATCCCTTTACACACTTTCATATGAATATCTGCAAGATAATAGAGTTCAAGAGCTTCACTGCCCAGCAATACCTCTGTTTTCGGTGAATTCCCATCGATATTCTTCAATTCTGTCTCAGTTTCGCCGGCTACACCACTAGGCCTGCGGTTAGTATTGCTAAGCCCTGGCCAAGTGAAAAAACAAGAAGGGTACCTTACCACTCATCGATTCATAAAAGGAAACTCAGAAGAAAAAACTGTGCTGAAGCTAGATTTCGGGTGTTACCTGCCACGTATCCGATGCTCGGTCTCCCATTGTTTTGGTCTGATAATCCGTTCCCAGGGGATGCATTTGAATTGTGAATACGTTCACTAGAGATAGCTTCTTTGCCGTCATGTCTTTCATCGGAAGTGGAAGCATGCTTCTGTGTTTGGTCATGCCACATGCAATCACTTAAAACATCTGCCTTCTTACGAGCAGAGACATCCCCCTCTGGATTACTAGGTTGTCCCATCCCATTACTTCCATTTACTTTTCGGCGGCATTGGAACATCTAGAGCTGACAACATTAGCACCACCACTATGAGAACTGCCCTCCGTGATAACAAGGTAGAAAGTGAAGGTGAGGCTAATGCCCACGATGTGCAAGGAGACGTGAATGGAACACTGAGCGAATTCAACAAATGTTCATCAAACTAAGAGAGGAGATCCAAAAACCCCTTTTGCAACCTGCCTTCAGATACCATATATGTTATCATACTTGAGGTCGATGCATGCATAGAAAACCCATTGCTCTGCATTTCTTTTATCAGCTCGATAACCACCGATGGAGAGCTACTTTTGAGACGACCCCTTATCAATGCGTTATATGTACCAGCATCAGGAAAACAACCATCCTCTTTCATCTTCCCAATTATCTTTTCGACTTCATAGAGTGAACCTTTTCCGCAAAGTCCGGAGATCATTATATTATACGTGATAACATCCGGCCTCACCCCTTTCTCAAGAAGCCTATCAAAGAATACAAATGCCTCGTCAACACTCCCAACCTTGCACAAACCATGCATCATGATATTATGGGAAGATATATGGAGGTCAATCCCACTCTTTTGCAGCTTATTATATAGACCAAGTGCCTCATCCGTTTTTCCGTTCTTACAAAGACCATCAAGCAAAATGCTGTAAGTTACAAGATTAGGATGATGATCTTTATAATGCATCTCCCGGAAAAGCTTTTGGGCAGCATCAAGATTACCTACTCGATAAAACCCTTGGATGAGGATGTTGTAGGTAAATGAATCGACATCCAATCCTCTTCGAGACATCTCATTAAAGAGATTTATACCCTCTTTGACCCTATTAGCCTTGCAATATCCGTTTATCATAGAATTAAAAGTCACTGTATTTGGAAAGCATCCCTTGGTGATCATATAATTGAATATTTGTTTTGCTTCACCAAGCCGATTCTGCAGGCAAAAACCATTGATCAGTGAAGTATAAGTAATAGTGTTCGGAACTAAACCTCTTTGGATCATCTCCTCGTACAATTCTTCAGCCTCTAGAAACCTTCCCTCTTTAAGGAGTGCGTCGATTAATCCATTGAACGTGACAACATTAGGGGTGATTTTCCTTTTCACCATCTCACTCAACAATCGGGCAACATCGTCCCATCTACCAAATCTGGAAAAGTTGTTTATCAAAGAGGTGTAGATAACAACATCTGGTACAATGCCGACCTTATCCATCACTTCGAAAAGGTTCAATGCATCGTCCATGTGTCCAGCTTTGCAAAGAAGATCAATAATTATATTATAAATTCTGACATCGATCTCAATACGCATTTTTTCCATCTTCGTGACCAGATCCATGGCCAACCCAAAATCCCCTGCCTTGTAGACTCTATTTATAACAATGCCGAATGTAACTCCATCGGGCTGACAATCCATCTTTAGCATCTGGTCAAGTAAAATCAATGCTTCAGGAACTCTATTCTCAACGCAAAGTCCGTTGACCAAAGTGTTAAATGTTACAACATTAGGTTTGTATCCATCTTTCAACATTTGGTCAACCAAGCTTAACGCAGCGGAGATATTGCCCTGGATACAGAATCCATGAGCTAGAGTATTGTAGGTGACTACATTAGGCTCGTAACCGAGTTTCAAGATTTTCCCCACAACTGAGAAACCCAATAACACTTGACGAGAATGGCAGAAACAATTTATCAGAACACTGTAGGAGTAGATATCATGTGAAACCCCAAGCAATTCCATTCTCTTGCATAGGGAAATCACAACGTCGTACCGTTTCATTTCCATGACTGCACTCAAAAGTTTAGTGAAATCAACGATGGAAGGTAAGGGACGAGACTGAACCATCTGGTCGAACAAATGAACGGCATCCTCGGCATGACAATCGTGAAACCCACATCTCAATCTGTCTCTCCAAGACATACTGCAGTCTCTAACACCGGAAAAAGCCGATCTCGGACAACTTAAAACAGAGGAACAATGCCAGAAATTGTTCAGAATGCCTCTCCCCAGGGGATGTGTCTGAACCAAGCCTGAGGCAGAAGCAAATGCGAAAGCAGCCATTCTCCGGGCCATTGGCGTTATCTTCCTTCTAAAGACAGAGTCGGTACTCACGTAAACCTGGTCCTTTTTACCCTGAATCAGAAAGCCAGAACACGTTCTGAAACTGGAGTCCAATAAACAGATTGCACGAAATAAACACAAAAACTGGGCTATATATATATACAGAGAAAATCGAATAACAGAGAGGAGAGAAGAGAGAAACTTTAACCAAATAACTGAGAGATAAGAGAGATCGAAATCGAACCTGAGATCGAGAGAGCGGCGATGGAGGCAGAGAGAGGTTGAGAGTCTGACAGTATCCAAGTGAGTATCCAAAGTCGTAAGCCTAAACAAGTACAAGTGATGACAGTAGCACAAAATCTATCTTTTATATTCTGAAGTAATTTGATAAAAGCCAAATAGCTGAGTGGAGATAAGAGAGGCACCAGGAGATAAGAGAGATCGAAATCGAACCTGCAAGAGAGAGAGAGAGAGAGAGCGGCGGAGGCTGAGAGAGAGAGAGGTGGCAATCAAGATCCAGATCGAATCTGAGATCGATCGAGAGAGAGAGAGAGAGAGAGAGAGAGAGGTGGCAAGAGAGATCGAGATCGATCGATAGAGAGAGAGGTGGCGGAGGCTGAGAGAGCTCTGACCGATGAGAATCCAAAGTTCGTAAGGTTAACTCAGACAAGAGTACAAATGATGACACACCACAAAATCTTGTCTGGATTAATCTGGCGCATTAACATGACGTGGGCTTTTATTGGGCTCAAATTGTTCGAAAGCCCATCTGCTTCTGGTGAAAACCCACTTCAAAAGTTTTGATCCTTTTTTTTTATTTTAAATACGAACATCGGATGAATCATGCTTTGGGTTATTACAGCCGCAGATTTATCAAAATAAAAATTTTAATTATTTGCAATCAGCATATATTCTTTTTTATGGGTTACTGTTTACCAATAAAGTATATAAGCCCATTTTCATATAGAAAGCCAGATGATGAGTCCTACATTATTGGATTTTAACGAGGATCGCATTTTCCAAATGACAATGACTCTAATTAAATATTAATTATGATTTTGATATCTATATACGTGAACAAACTAAGGCAGTCCTACACTAAACGTGAATAGATGAATTCATCAGTCATGCAAATTCCATTTCCATATTCGGTATAAATGAAAAAGTGACCTACGCAGAAAAAGCCTAAATCAGAATTTAGAATTTTAATGATCGAAAAAATATGTAACCAATATCAAGAAATCACAAGAATAAATATTTCTGTGTTTTAAAACAAAACAAATAGCCGTGAAAAGAATTTAAAAAATAAATAAATAAAAGGGAGAAGAAACAGTGATTCTGAGGCGCTATGATTAAATAAAGTCAAATAATTATAGATATATTAGATTATGTATTGTAATCTTTTGTTGATTCTTCATTTTTTTAATACATTTAGTTACATATTTAAAACCGAAATGAAAAGGTGATAGTTGCAAATGGAATCAGACATGCTAAAATATTTACTAAAATGCATCTTAAAATGGCACAACCAAAAAAAAAAAAAAAGTATCAAGGTGCGAATGGTTTCTTCTCGTGAAATGATGAAGCAAAATTAAACAAAATATGTCATTGGAGAGGAACTATATTATTTCGTGTATTTACATTATATATATGTTGATTTCATGCTTTTTAATTCAATTTTTAAATTTATAAAAACTACATTCATTCTTTTATATTAATATTTGAAAGATTTTAAATTTTTATTATTTATATATTACAAATTTTAACAGAGTTGTATTAAGATACTCAACTCCCTTTGCGCTGTTTGTTTATAGAAAAAGATCTAAATATGGGGGCAAAAGTGGCACAAAGGATGTCAGGAAGCCGAAAAAAGATGGTGGACTAGTCATTTGGCGAAGATATATGGGTACAAGACAGAGATTTTGCTTAAATCCTATAACTAAGAAAACTTTCCTAATACACGGAGATCATAATCATAATCATTATGTATGTATGTATGTATGTATGTATGTATGTATGTATGTATGTATGTATTGCAAATTCACGATGATTATCGTCGATTTCTTACATGCCTTAAAAAAATCAACTGATAATTAGTCTCTGCTTCCACAGTTACTTCATCTCTCTCTCTTAATTCTTTCTTCGCCTCCTCTCTCATATCTTCCTCTGAAAACAAGATCATAACCTCCTCTTCTTCTTCTTTCTCTTATTCATCTTTACAGTAACTTCGCCTCTTTCTTCTTTGATTCTTTCTGATAATTTTGTTCATACGACTGTTAAAGTTCTTTTAGGGTTCTTTGAATCTGTTAGACCCGAGATAAGGATCAGTGACACTTCGGTCTAGGTGTGTGAGTACTCAAATTCAACCAGAAACTTCTGTTTCAGAAAACACAGAAACAGAGAAGAAAAAATTCAAGAATACTCAATAATCTCATTAAACTATAAACGATTACATATATAGAAAAATAATAACTCAAGAAGAGAAACAAAAATCAAATCAACCTCTAAATCTACTAACTAAATCAAATCAAATCAGTAGGGATGTAAAATGGGCGGGTCGGGCCGGGTTCGGACCGGGCTTAGTTCGGGCTTCGAATTTTTCGGGTCGGGCCGGCCCGCCCATTTATTTTTCGGACTTATGATCGGTGGCCCGGAGCCCGGCCCTATAGGGCTTCGGACGGGTTCGGGACGGGCTTCGGGTTTTTTCTATTTAATAAAAAAATAAATATTAATATATAATAATAATAATAATAATTTAACAATTTTTAAAAATAGAAAAACATTGAGATATAATTTAGAAATAAAAGTTAAACTCATAAAATATACAGTAATATATATATATATATTAATTAAACCAAAATCTAATTAAATTGTTTAATAATATATATATATATAATATAAGTTTAATATATATTAATCAAATTGCTTTGAAATATAAATATATATATAACATACAAATAAAAGTTTTTATATAATGTTATGTGGTATTCAATCTCAAATGAAAGTAAAAATCTAATAATATAATATTTTTTCGGGCTAAATGGGCGGACTGGGCGGGTTTTGGGTCGGACTCGATTCGTCCCTAACTTTTTTCGGGCCGGGTCGGCCCGCCCATTTATTTACCGGGCCTATATTATTAGGCCCAAACCTTTAATTTTTCGGGCGGGTTTCGAGCCGGGCTTCGGACTTCGGGTTCTATTGACACCCCTACAAATCAGAATATCCTAATTTTGCAAAGAAAAATATGAAAGATATGATAGTGCCAGATTTTTACAGAATCTGGAAACTGATCCTCCTTAGCCTTGAATCACGCATTTGAACTAACAATTTGTCTCCAACTCATGTGACGTGGTCTTGAATCACATTTGTTCCAACAATCTCCTCCTTGACGAAAGGTCTCGCACACACTTCGATCATGCTCCTTAACAACTCCAACGTTCCATCATGCAACCCCTTAATGAACAAAACTGTTTCTTGTTCTTCTTCTTGTTATTCAATACTTTTCACATCATCTGCAAAACCAACCCATTCACTATCTGAATATCGAATGAGATTTAACTCATCACATTTTGTAAGCTTGATCCAAAAAATCTGTCTTTTCTATCATTTTGAGCTCCTCCTTCATTGCATCTCTCCGATTCTTGTCGTTTCTTGCCTCCTCATAGCTAAATGGCTCAAGAATAGCCACATTGCATCTTCCATAAACTTCATGCGGTGTTCTTGTACCTCTAACTGGAACATCATCATCAGATTCAACGTCTTCAGCCTCCATAATCTCGTCAGCGTTCTGCACATGATTTTTAGTTTGTTGAGTTTGAGGTTCAGCATCAGTTGTCGGTGGTCCTTCGGTTTGAGTGAATGGCTCTTCATCCTCACCGAAGTCTTGCCATTTCAATCCTCCAGACTCAACAAACTTGACATCTTTACTCACTACTTCCTTGTTCATCTCAAGCAAATCTACTTGATATGCCTTTGACACATCTTCTGCAGTTTTTCCATCGAGCTTATCTTCCGATTCTTGACTCACAAATGCATCATATCCCACATTTTTCATTGAAAATGAGAACCTCTTGTTTCTCATAGGCATCCTAAATAGAACAGGGGTTGTGTCATTACCAATAACACACTCATTCTTGTCAAAAATTACCTTGTAGCCCTTAATAACCTAGCTGAGGTACACTTAGGAGATTCTGAAGTAGCCCTGGCACATACAACACTCCTGTTAGCAGTTTCTTCATGCCATCCGACCCTTTGATCCAGACATCTCCCTTTCCCTCGACTGAAATGAACTCGCCATTGCCAATTCTGACCTTCGACTGAAATGAACTCACCATTTTTTAATGCAAAATTCGAATATTGATTATATTATTCTACATCTTTCACTAACACGGTAATATCTATAATTAATTAAATCTTTCTTTTTCTCATTTTATATTTTAATTAGTTCTATTATTCAGAGATTTTCTATATTTCCAAATTATAATTATTGAAGCTTTTGTCATATTATTTTATAAGTTACAAATCTTCCTTTTCCCTTATTCTTTTCTTTTCTCAATGTTGATATTTTCCGTTTTTGTTTCTATTATTAAGATTTTAAAATATTTATCAATTCTTTTATATTTCCAACTTTACTATTCGTTTCGTTTTATAATATGTTATAACCTTAATAATTTTAAGTTCACCAAATCTATATCATATGTTTTTATTATGGGCTTCAGAAACAATTGACTTGGAAGCTATCGGCCCACGTGCAATGTTTTTTGTTCTAATATTAAACTTAAAAAAAAAATATTGGCGTTTCTCGCGGCTCGGTGGTTAAGCGATCATGGTTCAGTGGTTGCTGCTAATCCCGGGTTCGAGTAAATGTGACTGTTATTTTGTTTTTTTTCCCCCCTCAAATTATGGCACCAATTCGATCATATTAATTTTGTTCCTTCTTCAAAACTATTAAAACCAGTATTGTTAAAGAGTAAAGAATAAATTTATCTCTTGGTACCTTTTCTCGGTTCATCATTTCACAAATGAATTTTAAAATATTATTTTTATCACACAGAAAAAAGTATAAAAGGTTGTATACTAAACAATCCAATAGAATACAATATCTAGATAACGATTGCTTGTAATATTATATTAAAACAATCGTAAAACTAATTAGAATAAAAGTAAAATCCACGTGACTTGTCCAGGAGAAAGTAAATAATTTTTTCAATTTCTTGGTTAATAAAAGCAAAATTGGTTTGCACAAAATATCTGAGTTATATGCCACTTACGTTAAACATATATTTTTTTGTGGTAACAACACTTTGTTTTTCAGACGCAAAAAAATGCCTATAATCCTAAATAAATCTACGTTGGAAAAAAAAATGCATAGAATTGGGCTTAATTTATGTCTTAAAGCCCACAAATATAACATATGGGCTCAAATAATTGATTAAGATCTACCTGAAGTAGGCCCATTGGGCTGATCAAGTAGGGGAGATGCCAATCATATATATATATATAAATTCAATGTTTTATTAATATGATTGATTTTACTAAAATAGCCCGTGGTCCGCTGATTATTATTATCAGAGCCGTCTCATAAAATTTTGGGGCCCCGTACATATCATACTTTTAAATTATTAAAATATATTAATTTATATATTAAATAATAATAATATTT